TAAATAGTTTATTCTGACCAGGAAAATAGACAAGAAATACTGTATACTGTACAGACATTCTTACTGATACTCTGACCAGTTTAACCAGTTTTATTCACTGAGTTACATTCAACCCTCATTTCATCAAAAAATACACTGAAAATAGATGACATTTTGTAGACTCAAAATATTTGAGTTTGCAAAGAACACTGGACCACACTGACAAAATATACATTCATATTGAATGAATAAGCCCAATGTAAATGCAGACATGAGAGGCTATTTCTTCACAAATCTGATATTTTGATGGACGCCTCTTCAAAAGCCCCTTCACTTATGATAACCTGGACTTGATGAAGCACCTAAAAATGCACAAACAATGCAAAAAACAGCCACTAAACCGTGACTGTGACCATCACACTGAGAGAGATGATAAAGTCCTTCCTTCTTCAGACTCTTTCTTGCTAAAGCGCTTCATTCCGGTTAGTGTGGTCTTTACAAGATTTTACTTCAGGCTTCGAAAGGTTCCATGTGATGAAGGTGGAAAGCAGCGAGTTCCAGCAATGACAGGCCGATCATCAACCCATCACTGAGACATTCAGAGTTTAAACTGTGCTTGGATGCCCTTAGCAACTGAGCCTGGGGAATCAAATTATCATTAAAGAGTCATTGGTAGGAGGAGAATTGTGAAAAAGATTTTTCAAATCGAAGGTTGAGGGTGAAAAGTAGGGCTACACGATTAATCAAAATAAAACAAAATAGCAAAATGGCTATGTGATTATCAAGTCGCGAAGGCTGTGATTGAAATAAAAATATGCGCTGGTGAAGCACGGCACTGTTTTCTTTTATGTGTGACTTGATTCAAAATAAATGCTTCACAAACTCATCTCTGCATCTTATAACACTTATAATGCGCATTGTGCAAAAACGCAACATGTGCCAACCATCTGACCAAACTTGTAATGAGAAGCCAGCTGTTGTCAACAAAAGAGAAGCTTTAAAGGCTCCCTGCAGATTTCCCTTCAGCTGATGGTTTAAATGAATAAATTAAGACACTAAGAAATATTAGTACTGTAATTTTACAGTTGTACTCTAAAATAAAATTATTATTATTATTATTATTATTATAGTATTTATTTTTATTTAAATAAACCATTCTGTATTTTAGTTATTCTAATATTTCCATTTAGCAATAATAATAATACAAATGTTAAATGGATAGTTCACCCAAAAATGAAAATTCTGTCATTAATTACTCAACCTCATGTCGTTCCAAACCTGTAAGACCTTCGTTCATCTTCAAAACACAAATTATTTTTGATGAAATCCGAGAGCTTTCTGACCCTGCAGACCGCAACAGAACTACGTTCAAGGCCCAGAAACATAGTAAGGACATCGTTAAAATGGTCCATGTGACATAAACAAAAATAATGACTTCATTCAACAATTTCTTCTCTTCTGTATCAGCACATTCAGGAGAGTACCACGACACATGCGTGTGGTGCTGCTGACGTAGAACCCGGATGCGCTTGTTAGCAAGCAGAGGAATGCTGAACCACAGATGTCACATGGACTATTTTAACGATGTCCTTACTACGCTTCTGGGCCTTGAACGTGGTAGTTCCGTTGCTGTCTATGCAGGGTTTAGAAAGCTCTCGGTTTTCATCAAAAATATCTTCATTTGTGTTCCAAAGATGAACGGGTTACAGGTTTGGAACGACATGAGGGTGAGTAATAAATGACATTTTTGGACAAATTCTGCAGCCATACAAATGAGCACAGAAAACCTGGAGCTAAAAAAATAATTTCATTGTGATATTTTAACTAACAATTTTTTATCAGGAAAGAAAAAAATGCAATTAGATTTTTTTCCAGGCACATAAAAAAGATAATGCAGCCCGGCCCTTTAAAAAAAATGTTAAATTGAACTTGCACTTTTTATCAGAAAAAAAAATAAATAAATTTTTTTTTTCTCAAATTGTGCAGCCCTAGTGGAAAACCACTGAGGCATTTTGTGGACCTCCATCCAGTGAAGAAAAACATTATCCCGCATTACCACCAAGTGGTGCTGTTGTTCTTATTTCAGGGTGGATTAATGCATTCAGTCCGAAACTGAGGCAGATAAAGAGGAATGCTGTGAGATATATTATTGGAATCAATGGCTGTGGAATCTTTGCCTTTCAGGAGAGGCCTGGCGTCCACCCTCATAACTGTTTCATTCTTTTCCCGTTCACCCTGTGTTTCCTCGATCTCCTCTTCATCTTCTTCCTCCTCCTCTTCGTTCACCTCGAGGTAGTAGAGGTCTTTGGCTGCACCTGTGCTTTCTGATGCTTCATAATCTTGATCGGATGTTTCTGAGAACTCTTCCACAGAGTTGTAGGAGCTGGAATGGCGGGGATTGGCGCTGTCAGAGCACACATGGTTCTCCAAGTCCCAGAGTCCCCCAGGGAAAGAGCCAGAAATGTCAGAGTTGTTGGCAGAGAAGTTGCCTTCATCACTGGAGCTGCTCAGACTCTCCTGCTGCTTTCGAAGGAGACTGGGCTGATCAGAGAGGAGAACGGTCGAGTACGTCACTGAGGACTGGCCTGATGTTTCTGGGGTAGGAGCAGCAGTGGAAGCCTCCAGAGACAGAGGTTCAGAGGAGTCTGCTAGAAGGGCAGAATCGGTAGTTGTTTTGTCTCCAGAGTTATAAATGAGTACTTCATTGTCTTTTTCATGTTCAAGCATGACAGGATGCGGTTTCTCGATGATTTCCACCTCACAGATGCTCTCAGAGACCAGCAGCAGTGGACAGGCAGTGAGACCCTCTGAGTGAGGGAACAGGTTCTCCATGGTGTCAATCTGCAAAGAAATAGACATGTTGTGGAAATGTACTAATATATATATTAATATGAGTATAAAAAATTATGCTGCATGTTAAGCTGGGAGGAGAAAGAGTTTTAACATAATTCAATATTTATTGAATTATGTTAAAACTCTTTCTCCTCCCAGCTTAACATGCAGCATACTTTTTTTACCCATTTATCATGGATGTGATTAAATGCCTTATGTTTTCATTTATCATTTAAACAAAGTTCCTCTGTTTCAATCTGGATCTACTCTATTTTAAGGTAGAAAAAAATAGGTGCTCTGCTTGATTAAGACATTCAGATCCAGCTCTCACTTGCAAATTAAAAATACAGTGGTGTGAAAAAGTGTTAGCCCCCTTCCTGATTTCTTATTTTTTTGCATGTTTGTCACACTTTAATGTTTCAGATCATCAAACAAATTTAAATATTCATGGTGTCAATCTGCAAAGAAATAGACATGTTGTGGAAATGTACTAATATATATATTAATATGAGTATAAAAAATTATGCTGCATGTTAAGCTGGGAGGAGAAAGAGTTTTAACATAATTCAATATTTATTGAATTATGTTAAAACTCTTTCTCCTCCCAGCTTAACATGCAGCATACTTTTTTTACCCATTTATCATGGATGTGATTAAATGCCTTATGTTTTCATTTATCATTTAAACAAAGTTCCTCTGTTTCAATCTGGATCTACTCTATTTTAAGGTAGAAAAAAATAGGTGCTCTGCTTTCTTGAGCCCCTAATGGAAAGGCAGTAACACCTACATAAAAATGGTCTAATCTTCTGTCACTGCACACTAATATGTTTATGTGACAGTTGGTTTTAATGGTTGGTCACACTGACCTGCCTGAAGTCCATTCCTTTTGCCCAGGAGCATTTGTTGGGATTTGGAACATCTTTCCACATGAGTTTTCTCATTCTGTAAGAAATATGCACAGGTCAAGCCCCGTTTGCAAGCCAAAACAGTTCTAAACAAATCTAAGCAGATAAGCAATAATATGATTGTATTTGTTACCCAAGTAATTATCTCTGGCAGAACTTGTGAAATATCTACCCTCAAGCAAATGAGCATTATTGCAATTTATGTATATTACATACTGTAAAGCAATTTATGTATTTTATATCTGACATTCATTACAACCAAATAAATCCCATACAAATCAGCTTACAGTGCCTCACTTTAATTCAAACAACTGGCCTTACAAAGTTAATATATATTGTAGCTTCCAAAAACACGTTCTTCTGCTAGATTAAAGGGAATCAGGCAGATAAACAGAAGGACTGTGATTTTGTAATATGATTTGACAGTTTTCCAATGATTTTTCCTTCAGGGCATTTTTTAGCTTTGGTTTTACTCTAGATCAGTGTTTCCCAACCGGGGTGCCGTGGCCAATAATGATGTTGCCAATAATTAGAGATGCACCGAAATTTTGGCTGCCAAAAATTAGTTCACCGCTCAGGTTTCACTTTCACGTGGTGTGACTCTCTGCGTATTATCCCGCTCTATGCGTGTGCGCTCCACTCAGTCGCTCCACTCGTATACCGTTCATGCGAATCGGAACAGCAAAGTCCACTCAAAAATTGAGCCGACAGGAAACATCGATGTAGTACAGTATTGTTTCTGTCTGCAATAGCCCTACTGTGCTGTAACAAGGTGTGGTATATGGGCAACTCTGGTAACGCTGCCCTCTCATTCATTGATCTGCTAACCGCTATGTTATGCTCACGTGTTCTGATAACAATAGCTTTCTAGGACTAAACATTATTTGAATAATTGGTAAAAAAAATAAAAAAAAACCTACTGTTAGACCTACCTGAACAACTAAAAAGCTATTTATTTAATTCTAAGGCCTGTCGTTATTTTTTATTTGTGCTATCATTATTAATTTCTTTATTTGTTCTTATTTTATTACTGACTGCTTACTTGTAATTTTTTATTCAATTCAAAGTTTGAAATCAAGCTATATCGTGCTACTGCACCAATTACCCCTCTGTAAAATAAAAAAAACACTGAGTGAGCAAAAATTTGTGAGATAGCTAGTTATAATGGTAATTAAATAATGTTTACATATGTATAAAAGCCTACATTAAAATCTGTCACAAATATTGTGACAATTTATTTTGTAGGGTGCCACAAGTTTGTTAAAATTTCCAAAGGGTGCCGCGACTAAAAAAAGGTTGGAAAACACTGCTCTAGATTAATCCATTATCCATTGGTAAATAGAATGGTAGAGCAGGGACCTCCAGTTATGTATATAAAAGTGAGTGTAGCATTAAAGGTGGGGTAAGCGATTTTTCAAAAACGCTTTAGAAAACTGATTCGGGCCGAGTAGCAAAACAAACTGGTAGCCAATCAGCATTAAGGGACGTGTCTACTCATGATGTGGAGGAGAGAGCGTTTAGTGCACAGGACGGACATTAGCCGAGCCGAGCGACAGAAAGATAGA